TATGCATGCTCCACAAACTCTGTTGATGACAACCCCACCATTGTTCCTCAGTTGTATCTCTCCACCTTATGCTATTATTGTTAGATTTCTTGTTTCTCAAATATGTTGGACGATTTTAATGTTATTGATCATATTGTCATTTGAGATCATTTGATGCTAAGTTAGGAGGATATTTGTAGTTATGGGTCATTGAGGACAATGACATTTTAAGTTGGGGAGTGTTGATTTTATTTTTTTTTTTGTGAAGTGTTGTTGATGATGCTTTTGTGGAGTTGTGATAGCTTTGTGAAGTGTTGTTGATGAGACTTTTGTGGAGATTGTGCTTATTTTGTGGCATGATGATGTTTGTGAAAATATTTTGAATCTTATTCTGTAAGTCTCAAAGGTTAAAGTGAACTAAAGTGAGTTATTTTTAAAATTTTTCATGATTCATGCATAATTACCATTTTAGAACAATTAAAGTGCTAGTTGAAAGGTTTTGTGAGGTTTTTGAAATTTTTTGTGCAACATGGTTTAAACATTGAACTATTGGTTCTGTTTTGTGCTAGGTTTGTCATTTTGTGGTTGATACTGTTTTGTATAAATGTCATGTGTTTTAGGGTTTATGCAAGTCTCCCACATACTTTACATGCCTATGGAGCAAGTTTCATTTATATCTTGCGTGTGTTAAAGTGCTTAAATGTTGCTTGATGATTTGGTTTTGATTTGTAGCCTAGTTGACTGATTGAGTACGCCCGGGGTTTTCTATACCTAATCCCCTAAAGCTATCTAGCTGGGGCGGTTGGCCTAAGTTCGTTACATGGATCCTCTAGAAAGCTTAAGAATTCATTACATAGATCATGAGCTTTATAAAAAGAAATAAAGAAATAAAGTCTTGACTTGTAGCCTAGTTGGTTTTGGTGATAAGTTCGGATGTTTCTACACTTAGTGCCTTATAACCATCTGGTTTGGGAGTCACTAACCTAAAGCCCATTACACGGACCTTCCAGAAAGCTTAAGAAGTTAAGATTAAAAAACAAAAAAAAAATTACAAGTGATGAATGAAAAGAAATTATATGTCAAAATCTTGTGTGGAAAATGAGCATTATGTTGCATGTACATAAGTTGGGGAGCTTTGCATGACATTTTAACTTTGTGATATGAATATGAAATGTGTGTTTGAGAAGCTTAAATGGAGATAGGCAAATCTTGATAGAAACTTTAGTTCTTTATTTAGGATTGTGTTGTTTGCTTGTTATGTCAAGTTCTTCACTTTACCTTTTGATGAATATCTTGGTTGTTGATGAATATGGTTGTGTATGGTTTTGTGAGAATGTTGAAAGAGTTCTTTTAACTTTACTCGAGGATGAGCAAAGAGTAAGTTGGGGAGTGTGTTAGTCATGAAAGTGACTCTATTTTGGTGATAAAAATACCCCATGTGTGATTAAATTGAAGTATATTGAGACAATTAAAGAATTTATAAATTTATTCACGAAAATCGCTTCCTAATATTTTTCTTATGAATTTAATGTGTTTGGAATGATTTTGGAAAGTATATGAGTTGATATTAGGTTGTGGTTTATGCATTAAGGGTGATTTTGTCTCATTTATGCTGTTTAGTAGACCTGGCAAAACGGGTGGGTGGGTCGGGTACAATCCGGGTCTAAACGGGTACGGGTCTTAAACGGGTCGATTTAAATGGGTTCAATACTTTAGACCCGCACCCTACCCTACACGGGTACGGGTGGACTCGCGGGTGCCCGTTTCTAGTGAAGTTCCTCTTGACCCTTCTTCTCAAAGTACTTTAGGACCCTTCCAACGAATCTCAACAGCAAATCTTTGTTCTTTTTTCTTCTTTCTTCTCTGCAATCTCATGCGCCAGATCCCACCCCTCCATCCTCTATACCGCCATTTTCACCTCGTACATCTTCGTCACAACTCACAAGAGGCGGCCATGGCTGCCACCTCATCATCTTTATCACCATTCTTCAAACCAAACCCAAACCCAAAAGCAAATACCCAAAAAAGAACAATCTCAAAATCTTCAAATCCTTGAAAAAACAAAAAGAAAAGAAAACTTGTTTCCAAAATTACACAATGTTTTTCATTCTTTCCCATAACTCAACCACACAAAACAAACCCAAAAAAGAAAAATTCTTAAAAGCTCTGAAATCTTGAGAAACACGAAGAGAAAACAATTTGAAGAAATGGAAATGTGCTGCTCTACAACGTATCTTGATGAACCAGAAGTGAGAAAGGCTGGGTGAATGGAGATTGTGAATGATTTTGAAAGGAAAGAGGCGGACTACGAATGAACAAGAATGAACAAGAGAAGAGAAGTTTGTGAATAGATTTAGCCAACTCTACCTGCCAAAAAGTTTGATGGGATATGCCAAAAAGTTTGATGGGATAGAAGAGAAGTTAAGTTTGGAGAGAGAGAGAGAGAAGGCAAACAAAAGGTGTTGTAGCTGGTAGCCTGGTAGGCGTCTGCTCACATGCTACCAAAAGAGAAAAACTTTTTTTCTTTAAATAAAAAAGGGGCACCCGCGGGTGTACCCAGCCTACCCGTTGCTGGGTATGGGTCTTAAAAAACGGATTTAATAATATAGACCCATACCCTATATAATTTACCCGGGTATAGGGTCGACCCGCGGGTCTCAACCCGTTTTGCCAGGTCTACTGTTTAGGGGGTAAAATGTCATATTTTAAGGGGCTGATTTTGTCACTTTTCAATTGTGTAGGGACCAAAGTGATATTTTACAATTTGTTCTATAAAAGAAAACAAAAGTTCGCATGAAAAGGGAGGCGTTGTTCATCAATCTTTTCCGGCGATGCTTCATCTTCCATTCTGGCGACCTCTGGCGAATCTTTGGCTTCCTCTTGCACAGATCGTCGTCATCCCCATCGTCCCGGACCACCACCACGAATCATGGAACGCAGCCGCGACGCTTCGTCTTCCACCACCGTGACGTTTCATCTTCCAGGCCAGTTTTGGCCGTTTTCTGATGACGTTTCAGCTCCCCAAGAGTCGATCTTCCTTCCCATGGCCGGATCTACACTTCCCTAGCTTCAGCCGCTGTGAAAACCGTCGGAATCCACCAAATCGCCGTCACGCCTCTTCATCTTCCAGCCCAGATCTTGCTCATTTCCAATGAATTCTCACCTCCCTAGGACCTGATCTGAACTCCCCATCACCAAAGCTTTCCAACGGTACCTTCGAATCCCATTTCCGCCACCGTTTTCCGGAAGACCCGCTGAAAAATTAACGTTTTCCGACGAGTGCGGCTGTTCGTATTCCGGGCCATCCGTTAGTCGTTTTCGCCTCTTCTTCACATCATATCACTGTCGGTTACCTCCTCTCCGCCATGGTCAGCTTCGTTTGCACCATTTTGGCCTCCGTCATCACCACCATGAGCGGCTAAGTTCCCGGTTGTCTGTTACGGCATAGGCAAGATCGAGATTGACTCCACGACTCTCCTCATCAGCTCTCGACTAGTTGGATGAGCCCGATTATAGGACATTTGGTAGTATTGTGCTTCGGATTATATTTGTTTTCGTTTCATGTTTGATTTCGATACTTTAATATGATTTGAGCATAACTTGTGATGAATACTGTTGTCCATTATGATTTAATGTTTTCATAGAACTTGCTTAATGATAAACGTTGGTTTGAAATAATTAAATGATGAATATTGCTTTTCATTACTTTGCATCTATTGTAATTGAGTTGTGTTCAGATTTAATTTAATTTCTACTATTGTTGCGTTTATTGTGAAGTTGGTTGATTGTATTTTACGTGTTGACAAATTGTATTTGTTAATCGCGTACCAACTAGTGGTATTGCCTTGTAGCGTTTTTTGGCGTTTAATGATAGTCTTTAACCAATCGAACTTGAGTGATTGAGTGAGACATGATAGATTATATCTAGAGTGTCGAGAGGTCATTTCATTGATTTACCTTGCCTTGTAGGTTTAGGGGATCATAGAGGGTGGAGAAGAATTGTGTGAGTCGGTCTCGTGTCGAACCAAAACCGTAACGGCAACATTTTTATTATAAAGTCTTTATTCGTTTTAATTTCACTCTTTCATTATTTGCATTTAGTCTATTTAGTTTCATCAATCAATTGTCAATTTCATTTCCGCTACTCAAAATACATTAGGTTGTTAGTCTTGCTCCTTGTGGATTCGATCCTGCTTACTGCTAACTACGGCATTTAGGTTTAATTTTGTGACCGTGACGACCGGTTCAACATAAAACCTCAAGCTTTGGAAGTTATATAAAAGTGCTTCCAAATAACTACTTTGACCATGTGCTGTAGTTAAAATTCAACGTTACATAGATGTTGGGATAGGATTCTTTCTTTTACAAACATTATCCTGAATTGATTTCTCTTTAAAGTTGACATGTTTTGCTTGTTTTACTCTCACTTTTGATGGTAGACCCCCTTAACTCTATCCACACAATAGCAATTGGATTGGACCAATCATAGGGACAGTTCACGACAGTTTTTTTTTTTTTATTAATAATTTGAAAAACTTCTTAGTTTTCCTTAAATAGAAGTCTCGTTGCCAAACTTAATTATATAATGATGATAATTATTTTATAATTGTACCTAACTTAACGCTTTAAGGATGGTAAATTGGTAATGAGTGTAGTAGTCCAACACATGAGAAGTTATGTAATCTTAGAATTAATCCTATGTCATATACATTGACCTTAATATTTTTAACTAACTTTGAAAGGACACTTGGCGATACCAACTATTTTTGGGTGACCGAGTGATTCGATAGGGACTCTTAGGTGTATTACTTAAGAGAGCTCTTATCCGGCCGATTATTCCAGTGTCTCGAAAGATTAGTTGAGGTGTGCATAAGTTAACCTGAACACCCCCAGTCATGCTAACCCTAGTCATGGGGAAAAAAAAATTAGCCATACCCTACTTGATAAAAGGGGGACCTTTTTGAATTGTTAAGATATACTTTACGCAAGTATAAATACTCATCATCTGAACTACAAGATATATAATTACCAACCATAAACAATATCAATATCTTTCTATTCGTTCTTTTTCTTCTTCCTCTATTAGCCTCTTGTGAAGAAAAAAACGTAAGTCTTTTGCAGTCTTTTTTTTTTTTTTTTTTTGTTGTTTTTTTAAGCCACAGAAGTTTTTGATGAATGTTTATATGAGTATATACTTAATATGGTTAATTTGAATGATGACAGGTCTACATAGTTCAGTTTCGTGGACACAATGGAAAAAAAGCATTGCATGAGATAGAAGACACCCACCATTCATATTTGCTCTCTGTGAAAAACAATGAGGAAGAAGCTAAGGTTTCTCGTCTTTACAGTTACCAATACAGCATCAATGGCTTCGCCGCAGTGCTCACTCCTGAGGAAGCCTCCAAACTTTCAGGTAAGTTGGAATCAAATTAATCTCTTAATTTGTTTTACTTTCTCTTTGTTGTGACACTCACAGCAAACAATTGATATGTATATGATTATTTAACAGAATTGGAAGAAGTTGTATCAGTGTATAAAAGCTAGACCTGGCAAAACGGTGTGGGTCGGTACAATCCGGGTCTAAACGGGTACGGGTCTTAAACGGGTCGATTTAAATGGGTTCAAATCTTTAGACCCCACCCTACCCTACACGGTACGGGTGGACTCGCGGTGCCCGTTTCTAGTGAAGTTCCTCTTGCCCTTCTTCTCAAAGTACTTTAGGACCCTTCCAACGAATCTCAACAGCAAATCTTTGTTCTTTTTTTCTTCTTCTTCTCTGCAATCTCATGCGCCAGATCCCACCCCTCCATCCTCTATACCGCCATTTTCCACTTCGTACATCTTCGTCACAACTCACAAGAGGCGCCATGGCTGCCACCTCATCATCTTTATCCACCATTCTTCAAACCAAACCCAAACCCAAAAGCATACCCAAAAGAACAATCTCAAAATCTTCAATCCTTGAAAAACAAAAGAAAAGAAACACTGTTTTCCAAAATTACACAAGTTTTTCATTCTTTCCCATAACTCAACCACACAAACAAACCCAAAAAAGAAAAATTCTTAAAAGCTCTGAAATCTGAGAAACACGAAGAGAAAACAATTTGAAGAAATGAAATGTGCTGCTCTACAACGTATCTTGATGAACCAGAAGTGAGAAAGCTGGTGAATGGAGATTGTGAATGATTTTGAAAGGAAAGAGGCGGACTACGAATGAACAAGAATGAACAAGAGAAGAGAATTTGTGAAAGATTTAGCCACTCTACCTGCCAAAAAGTTTGATGGGATATGCCAAAAAGTTTGATGGGATAGAAGAGAAGTTAAGTTTGGAGAGAGAGAGAGAGAGAAGGCAAACAAAATGTTTGTAGCTGGTAGGCGTCTGCTCACATGCTACCAAAAGAGAAAAACTTTTTTTCTTTAAATAAAGGGCACCCGCGGTGTACCCAGCCTACCCGTTGCTGGTATGGGTCTAAAAAACGGATTTATAATATAGACCCATACCCTATATAATTTACCCGGTATAGGTCGACCCGCGGGTCTCAACCCGTTTTGCAGTCTACTGTTTAGGGTAAAATGTCATATTTTAAGGGCTGATTTTGTCACTTTTCAATTGTGTAGGGACCAAAGTGATATTTTACAATTTGTTCTATAAAAGAAAACAAAAGTTCGCATGAAAGGGAGGCGTTGTTCATCAATCTTTTCCGGCGATGCTTCATCTTCCATTCTGGCGACCTCTGGCGAATCTTTGGCTTCCTCTTGCACAGATCGTCGTCATCCCCATCGTCCCGGACCACCACCACGAATCATGGACGCAGCCGCGACGCTTCGTCTTCCACCACCGTGACGTTTCATCTTCCAGGCCAGTTTTGGCCGTTTTCTGATGACGTTTCAGCTCCCCAGAGTCGATCTTTCCTTGTACCATTGAAAGGTTTTGTGAGGTTTTTGAAAATTGTTGGTTGCAACATGGTTTTAAACATTGCACTATTGGTTCTGTTTTGTGCTAGGTTTGTCCATATTGTGGTTAGACACCGTTTTGTGTAAATGTCATATGTTTTAGTGTTTAGGCAAGTCTCCCACATACTTTACATCCCATGGAGCAGAGTTTCATTTATTATCTTGTGTGTGTTAAAAGTGCTTAAATGTTGCTTGATGATTTGTAACCTAGTTGACTCGAGTGAGTACGCCCGAGGGGTGTTCTACACCTAATCCCCTAAAGCTATCTAGCTTGGGAGCGGTTGGCCTAAAACTCGTTACATGGGTCTTCTAGAAAGCTTAAGAAGTCATTACATAAATCATAAGCTTTATAAAAAAATAAATAAAGAAATAAAGTCTTGACTTGTAGCCTAGTTGGTTCGGGTGAGTAAGTTCGAGGAGTGTTCTAAAATTAGTGCCCTATAGCCATCTGGTTTGGGAATCATTGACCTAAAGCCCGTTACACGGACCTTCTAGAAAGCTTAAGAAGTTAAGACAAGAAAAAAAAAAAAAAAAAAAAAAACAAACAAACAAGTGATGAATGAAAAGAAATAATATGTCAAAATCTTGTGTGGAAAATGAGCATTATGTTTCATGTACATAAGTTAGGGAATTTTGCACGACATTTTAACATTGTGATATTAATATGAAATGTGTGTTTGAGAAGCTTGAATGGAGATAGGCAAATCTTGATAAAAACTTTAGTTCTTTATTTAGGATTGTGTTGTTTGCATGTTAGGTTCAAATTCTTCACTCTATCTTTTGATGAATGTTTTGGCTGTTGATGAATATGGTTGTGTATGATTTTGTGAGAATGCTGAAAGAGTTCTTTTAACTTTACTCGAGGAAGAGCAAAGAGTAAGTTGGGGAGTGTGTTAGAGTCATGAAAGTGACTCTATTTTGGTGATAAAAATACCCCATGTGTGATTAAATTGAAGTATATTAAGACAATTAAAGAATTTATGAATTTATTCACGAAAATCGCTTCCTAATATTTTTCTTATGAATTTAACGTGTTTGGAATGATTTTGGAAAGGATATGAGTTGATATTATATTGTGGTTTATGGATTAGGGGTGATTTTGTCTCGTTTATACTATTTAGGGGGGTAAACTGTCATATTTATAAGGGCTGATTTTGTCATTTTTCAATCTTGTAGGACCAAAGTGATATTTTCCACTTTGTATATAAAAGAAGATGAAGCGTAAAAAAGCCACAGCGCCAACACCCATCCACAGTCTTTTCCAGTGACTCTTCCTTTCCCATTTTCGACGATCTACGGCGACCTTTCACCTTCCATAAGCACCGACCAAAACCACAGCAAACTACCACCATAAATCACGTGAAACGTCGTGACTCTTCACCTTCCACCACGGCAACTTTTCATATTCCAGGCCAGATTTCACCGTTTTTCGATAACATTTGGGCTCCTGAAGGTTGATCTCCCTTCCCCCACGGCCGAATCTACACATTCCAAGCTTCAGCCGCTGCAAAAACCATGGGAATCCACCATCTAGCCACCACGACTCTTCATCTTCCATCCCAGATCTTGCTCATTTTCGGACACTTTTCACCTCCCCAGGACCTGATGTAAACTCCCAATCACCAAAGCTTTCCATCGGTACCTTCGGATCCCATTTCTGCCACCATTTTTCGGAAGACCCGTCGAAAAATTAACGTTTTCCGACGACTGCGGCTGTCCGTTGGTCGTTTTCGCCCCTTCTTTGCATCATATCACTGTCAGTTACCTCCTTTCTACCATGATTAGCTTCATTTCCACCGTTTTAGCCTCCGTCATCACCACCATGAGCGGCTAAGTTCCCGGTTGTCTGTTACGGCATAGGCGAGATTGAGATTGACTCCACGACTCTGTTCATCAGCTCTCGACTAGTTGGATGAGCCCAATTATAGGATATTTGGTAGTATTGTGCTTCAGATTATATTTGTTTTCTTTTCATGTTTGATTTCGATACTTTAATATGGTTTGAGCATAATCTGTGATGAATATTGTTGTCCATTGTGATTTAATGTTTTCATAGAACTTGCTAAATGATAAACGTTGGTTTGAAATAATTAAATGATGAATATTGCTTTTCATTACTTCGCATCGATTGTAATTGAGTTGTGTTCGGATTTAATTTCATTTCTACTATTGTTGCATTTATTGTGAAGTTGATTGATTAGAAGATACGTGTTGACAAATTGTATTTGTTAATCGCGTACCAACTAGTGGTATTGTTTTGTAGCGTTTATCGGCATTTAATGATAGTCTTTAACCAATCGAACTTGAGTGATCGGATGAGACAGGATAGATTATACCTAGAGTGTCAGGAAGCCATTTCATTGATTTACCTTTCCTTGTCGGTTTAGGGGATCGTAGAGGGTGGAGGAGAATTGTGTGAGTCAGTTCAAACCAAAACCGTAACGGCAACATTTTTATTATAAAGTCTTTATTAGTTTTAATTTCACGTTTTATTATTTACATTTAGTTTGTTTAGTTTAATTAATCGAATTGTTAATCTCATTCCCGCTACTCAAAATACATTAGGTTGTTAGTCTTGCTCCCTGTGGATTCAACCCGGCTTACCGCTAACTACGGTATTTAGGTTTAATTTTGTGACTGTGACAACCGGTTTGACACCAATCGTGCACTATTCCGTCAACTGTTGATGGCGATCGGCGGTGGTGGCTAGCTGTTGGCAATGGCTTGGGGTGGGTGGGGGTGATTTTGCTACAAATTAAATTTTCATATAGCTATGGTGTTTTAGCAAAATTTCAAATGTAGGAGGTTAAAAGAAAAGATTCAAAAATAATATTATATTAATATTTAAAAAGGAGGGCAATTTAGTAATTTATATTATATATCTACCGATTTATCCCCCAAGCCAAACATATTATTCACCAATTTATTCGAACCAACCAAATACATTTTTTAAGCATTCCCAGTAATCTTCAAAGTGATCTATCTTTCCGTTAATATAACATCCCCCTATAATAAAACATTATATAATTCAAATGCTCCCTATGTCTTATTTAAAACTATATTTAAGAAAGAAAAAAAGGTAATGGCAATCTAATAAGGGAACAATAACATCACTCCCTACAAAACAATTACAAATAAAATTGTTAAAATGATTAAATGAAAACATTTTCCACCCATCTCTTACTAAGGAAAATAATAATTTGGACAGTATAACTATTAACTAATGTCCAATATTATTAAAAATATTAATTAATGAGATTTTAATCCCTAAGGGTCTGCTTGGGAGTTTCATGATAACGGTTAAGAGGGTAAACCACCGTAACAGTTTTGAAGGTAAACCACTGTAACAGTTTTGAAGGTAAACCACCATAGCGGTTTTAAGGGGTTTTTAATAGCAGTTTTTAAAACACACAACCTATGATTGGGACTTTATTTTCCAATGGTTCTGACAGTTTTTTAAAATGATAAATTTACATATATGCCCATAAAAATACCCCAATTTCAACCAGTATTTGGGAGTTTTGTTTCTTCAATTACAAGGTAATGGTTCTTTATTTGTTTTTTACTCATTGGTATTTTATAA